GATAATTCCATTCCCAACGTCTCCTCCTTTCGACAATTATCTCCTTGTCTCTCCTTTTTTCTTTTTTTTTTTTTTTTTTTCTGTCTACCACGACTCTCTCCGTTGCATCTTTTATTCTTCACGTCTTCCTACACTCTTGTTCCTTTCATTCTATTTTCTGTCTTCTGCTCAGCTTCCTACTTCTGCGATAGCGTTCGCGTGGAGATCTTTGGAGAGCAAAATAGCCAGAGTGTCTCGCAGTGAAAATAAAATTGTACGTAGAGTGAAAGTTTTCGGAGTGAAACGTTTGGAAGTTTTAGGGTAAAAAGTTTTTGTAGCAATAGCTTAGAAGCTTTGAAGCAAATATTTGGACAATGAAATATTTGCAGTTTCCGTGATAAAAAATTCGTAGAATAAAATTTATTCCAGATTGAAAACTTACACACTTCTATTTTACTGAATAATTGTTCAAGTTTCTATTGAACTTCTCGATTCAAGTAGAAATCAAACCTGCTCGTTCAACTTCAACGCGTTGCTATTGTTTACTTATAGAAACTTTTCACGCAGTCATCGTTCCTTGAGAAAAGATCATTTGTCTCATAAGCTAGAGCCCTTTATTTGAAGTATGTTGCTTTTATCAGAGAGATGATAAGTTGACACGTGTAAAAGTGACTAAACAATGATAAGATTCAGATTCATCAGAGTTGTTTGTTGGCTGGTTATTTAATACGTGTTTTGTAAACCTTGTTTCACTCGCTTATCGTTCGATTTCAGTTCAGGGTAGATCTGATTATGAGAAAAGATCTGTACATATAATACAGAAGCTGAGAATAGTTTTATGCACATATATATATATATATATATATATATACATATTTATATATTTATTTTATATATTTACATGTGCGAGTTATTTGATTATAAAGAAATCTTTGATTCGAGAAAATTGGGAGTAAAACAGGCGAATCTTCTTAATATCAGAAACTAAAACTAAAAATTAGAATTGAAACTATTAAAATTGAAACCATTGAAAAGTAAATATTAAATTATTATTATTTAAAAAAATATCATTAGTATTATATTTATATAACAGTTACTTTTAGTAAAGTCAGAAATGAATTAATTGCCCCAACGGAGTTGAAAAATCAAAGAATTTTGTTCTTTTTAAATAAATATATCTTCCATTAGATTAATTCTTATCGTTATTGTTGGCACCAGAAATAAAGGACAGCATAAAAAAAATCGTAATGAAGCACAGTTTTTGTTCTCCGTAAGCAGAATCCAGTTATGGAGGGGTTAATTAATACTCGAGTCGCGTGAAATTTCGACGGCCAATTCCTCTTAGTCTTCTCTATGCGTGGATGTATTTCTTCTTGCGGTTGATTTGCTCCCCGATTTCGAGTGAAGTCATTGTTTGTTTCGGTGGGGAATTTGCGACGTTTAATTGGAGGAGACACCACTTGGAGTGAATTAGTTAGACTGCGGGTGTACCTGAGATGAATCACTAGGTAACGATAATGTGTCATCCACTCGAGTGATTCAGCTGAAAAACAGTCGTTTAGTATCGACTATCATTCCTCACTTCAGCAAGGATATTTGTAAACTCTTTCAAATGGTGAAAAATATTTGGAAAGCGGTGCAAAGTCTCGAAGACTCTGCGGATGATTTTCTCTATAACAGCTTTCATTTACGTCTGATAATGGCTATCAATTTCATGATAAAATAGAAAAAGAAAAAAAAACGTGAAAAATCTTCTCTTCGAGTACAACAAATTTGTATTGTAAAAATTAATAAAGATGATATCGATCCAACTGCTACGTCGCAAGTCGATGATTACTCTCGACAGGAAAACGAGCCGTGAAACTACGCGTGCACAATAAAAACGAGCATACACAGATTGTTTCGAATTCGATTGATCGGTTGGTCAGTTAAGGAATATGATTTATAAATGCGACTAGCATTGTACAGTGGGTGGGAAAGCCGAATATGGCTGCCGAGATGGAAGATGAGCGTGGCCGATCGAGACGATGCCCGGTCGAATAAGGACGCGACGTAGTCATATCCTCGCGTATAAGGGAAAGCGGATTCGCTGTTAATAGTCAATATGCATTAGAGAAACAATGAGCGGATCTTCGTGCCGCACACGACGACCACGGCGACGTATGACCGCAGAAGAGGATGTTGGTCGCGAGCACTCTGCCTAGTGGACACCTTCTGGAAATTTTTAACGATCGGCCTTGCCGATCGGACGAGTCATCGCGTTTGTCCTTGTCGTGGAAATTGAAGCTTAACCCTTTTGTCATCGAATTCTCCGTTGGAGACTCGAATCTTTTCATTCGTTTCATTTGTTTCAGTAATTAATTTCGATTCTTCTTCACTTCATTTTTCTGCAGAGATTACCCTTCAAGGGATATGTTTTCTAAGCAGAATTTCTCCTAAAGAAAAGTACGCCCCGAAGAGATATTTTTCGAGTGGAGTAATTCATTCAAATCTTTATCCAACATTTCAAGCACAATGGGAAATTATTTAAGTCTCTATCTATCTCGATCTATGATCTCCCAAAGGATAAAAATTCTTAAACTCTAAACCTAATTATTTAGGTGTTTTAACATCTACGAACGGGGGGAGGGGGTGTGTGTTACGCGTACACTGGAAACGCAAAATTGGAATTCAATTATCGGTATTCAATAGCCTTATCCAGCTCGCGTAACGTTACCCGAGATACGAGTTGCGCTTAAAATAGAACCTGAACGATACCGGTTGGAAGCGTAATTAGCCGGCTTAGAAATCGTATTTATCGATGATTCTTTTTCTTCTTCTTGATCGACCTTGCTTTGAATTGTTCCGACTCCTCGTCTCTATGAGAAGATTTGAAGAGAGAAGAGACACGGTGAATCGACGACTCGTTTCTCGACATGTGACAAGAAAAAATGTTAATTCAGTCGTTCGTTAACTATGTATTATGTTAATTCGATTTCTCGTCGTTTGTTAATTATCTACGGAATCGAGAGGAAAGATAGAGATACTATCCACTTATCGAAGAATTATTGGAAGAATTGCCAAATGAATTTTCCAGAATTCATCTGACGAATATTCTACTAAAAAACATCTTTTACCAAAAAAAAAAACTGTCAAAAGCATCGGCTGAAGAAAATCCTTTATCAAAGTGA